TGAAAAAGAAAGGAAAAAAGATGTGTGAAACTATGTGAAATGTAGGTATATTTTATTCATATTTTACATATCTTTTTCTTTTTCCTTTCTAAATCTTTTTCTAAATTCTCTAACTAAATATAATATAAAACTTACAGAATTAGAGCAAGAATAAATAAAATAGAGTGCGATAAAAGTGACATGATCATAGAATTGAAGGAAAGTTTTTAAAGAAATGTTACAAGACATGCTCATGGAATGGAAGGAATTTTTTTAAAGATGGGTTGGATTTTTTTCAAATTCGTAATCGGATTAGAGGGTATTGTTAGATTCATGGGAGTTGACCATGGGTCTTGTTTCAATAATCCAAATCGTTCAATGCGTAGAACTCGTCAAGTACTATATGCCTGTAAAATATCACGTTAATCGAATATCGATAGCTATCTCATCGAATCAGATTTCTGTCAACCGTTTATTTTTTTACGGTCCATTTTTTTTGTACAAAAACTGATTTAATCACGTCGCTATCGATATCTGATCAACGTGATTGTTTATAGGTATATAGTACTCAACGAGTACTACACATTGTTCAGATTATCAAAATGGGACCTGTGATGAACCCCCACGGGTCTAATAGTACCCTCCAGTTCGATCACGGATGGGAAAGCTAGTGTTGTGATTGGTTAGGGAATTTTGGTAAGGATTTGGAAAGAGAAAGGGAAAATGTATGTGAAATTAGATGAAATTTAAATATATTTTATTCACATTTTACTTACCTTTCTTATTTCTCTTTTTAAATAATAACAATATTAAACTCAACGAGTACTACACATTGTTCAGATTATCAAAATGGGACCTGTGATGAACCCCCACGGGTCTAATAGTACCCTCCAGTTCGATCACGGATGGGAAAGCTAGTGTTGTGATTGGTTAGGGAATTTTGGTAAGGATTTGGAAAGAGAAAGGGAAAATGTGTGTGAAATTAGATGAAATTTAAATATATTTTATTCACATTTTACTTACCTTTCTTATTTCTCTTTTTAAATTTCTTTTCAAATCTCCTAACCAAACACAACATGTGTTATAAGACATGCTCCCCCTCTAATGCATGGTACTAAACAGTGGGAAGGAAAGTGTTGGGAATTGTAGACTTGATACGTACTTAGATATGGCCCCCAATCTAGTGAGGGTGCGTTTGTTTGGATGGATTGAATAAGGGATGATTGAAATTCATCAGATTGTAATATTAGAATTCATAGTCTTGGGACTATTTGGTTGAATATGATATGTATCTCATGTTTGTTTAGTCATGGAATTAGTATCAGAAAAGGATTATTTGGTTGGATATGATATAAATCTTATGTTTATTTGGGATATTATAGAGAAGGATAAATGCTCAAATGACTATTTTACCCTTTTCAGTTATTTACTAAATAATAACAATATTAAACGTATCTTTAACATTTTAATTATTTTTAGCTAGATTAAATAAAAATTAATTTTATTTTATTTTTTACACAATTAAATAAATTTATTTTTTAAAAATTAAACAAATAAAATATCAATAAAAATATTTGTTATTTTTAATTAAAATTTTAAATAAATTTATTTTAAAAAATAATAATAATTAAATAATGAAATTAAATAAAAACATCTATTAAAATTTAAATAATGAAATTAAATAAAATATAAACAAAATTTTAAAATAAAACATCAATAAAATATCTATAAAAAATTATTTTTAAAAATTAAATAAATAAAACATCAATAAAAATTAAATTAAATTATTTTATTTTTAAATTGAGACAATTAAATTTAATTGAATTTTACTAAATATAATACATAATTAAATATTAGAGGGTCAAAATAGTCATTTTATCACCTAATCCCATATCCCCCCTATCCCCTCATTTGTGTCCACCCCCCCATGAGACACAATAGTTTAACACATTCGAGACTAATAGTCCGGAGCAAAATTAAAAAACCAAACAACGATATAAATCCTATCCTACACTCTAATTCCTCCAAACAAACAACACCTAAGAGGTTTAGGGGGCCTACTCCCGAGAGTTGGAGGATTTAGGTAATTTTTCTATTGTTTTTGCCTTATTTTAATTTTTTTGATCTAAAATTTTTTTGGGTATTTTTGGTAATTTCTTTATTATTTTTTGCCTTGTCTTAATTTCTATATTTTTATAGATGAGAGGCATTTTTTTTTGTAATGAGTGAAAGAGTTATAATCATTTTGAGATTATAGTAAAACTACAATGACAAGCAATCATATTTTGACATTTTGACGTGAATTACATCAATTTTTATATTTTTATGTATGTGTGATTGTTTCGATTTGTATTATTTTATTTTATTTTTTTTCCTTCGCCTCACCTATGCTGATTAGGTGTGTTACATTCCTAACAAAAAAATGATTCTCGGACTTCTGAAGAAACATAGGGACCTTCTCTAGAGTTGGTGTCGAACTTTGGGCCCTTAGAGATAGGCTCCAGTTTGCTCTCAAATTGGTGATAAATCTACTATCATCTCAAAACATTGAATTACACTATGCTTGGTTTGGGTACACCATATAAATATAAATATAAATATAAATATATTATTTTATTTTTAGTTATATTATCTCTTTATTTTTTTATATAATTTTTTTAAAAAATCTTAAACCACGCCAGTTCTGATTGTAGGCCGCACAGACATTGATCTCACGGATAATTTTTACACGCCTAGTCATAAGGAGACTGAAGCGAAAGTGATGGCTATATGGAAATTATTATTTACGTACACGCATGATACGGCCAAAGTTGAGGACCCACTCATTGTTGGAGCAATTTTCATAGGGATTGACTGACTTTCATCTTTATCTTGAAAAAGAATTTAAGTTTGATAGGTTCACTTCCATGCTAATTTTGATAATTTGAACTGTTTATTTTTTAAAATTTGTTGAGTATAATATTTATGTAAAAAATTAAAATAATCGAATATCAATAGATATATGTTTGAATCAAATTTATATTATAAAAAATAATTAGGTATTCTTGAAATTATATTTGTTATCTATTTTTTTAAAAACAAATATGATTCAAATATATAGTTACCGATATCTAATAATTTTAATTTTTTACATGAATATTCTATTTAACAAGTCCTAATAAGTGAACGGTTCGGATCACCAAAATGGATTTCAAAATGAACCTACTAAGCCCAAACACTCTCTCAAGTTGAGATGATAACTTGAGAGGAACCAAACCCTAACTAATTAATCTTTATTTGTGAGGGTCATGTTGTTAATATCAAATTAAGCAATAATGCTCTTATTAGTCAAGGCAGTTGGGCTATAAGTATGTACTCTAATTAACTAATTAATTTTAATTTGGTAGGGTCATGTTGTTAATATAAAATTAAGCAATCTAGATGCTCTTATTAGTCATGGCACAGTTGGGCCACAAGAATGTAAAATTTGATGATCCTTGGACCGGTGCATTGGTGTATTATGAATCCTACTAGGACAGGTGCATTGGTGTATATGTATTATGAATCTTATTAGGTTATTTGAATGGTTTATTTTGTAAATTCTTATGTAAATTATTAACTAAAAGAAATCAGAATAATTGAATAATTATAGACATTTAATTTTATTATATTTATCTTTAAAAAGATATATTATAAATTATAAAAATAAATATAATTAAATTATGTAATTATAATTATAGGTACGATATAATTTTTTTTAATGAATAATTTGTCCACAGAAATCAACAAAATAATTTATTTAAATCATTCAAATGAGTGTTTTTCTTTTCTTTTTTTTAACAGAAGAAGAGATTGATTGGGAGTCTCATGAGCTCATGAATGTTCTAGTCCATCACTGTGAATTGAAGTGAAACCTCTCCCAATCACATATATAGGTGTCATTTGAAAAGTGGATTGGCTTTTTGATTTTTTAATTTATTTTTTTACTATTTTAATTTGGGATTAAAGAATCTGGTTTGGAAAGGACTTTTAACTTTTTTGGCTTTTATGACTTTTTTGTGAGAAAAAGAATGCAATGATTATAGATTGGATGTGATATTTTGTCTTATTAGGTTAAAAAACTTATTTTATTTTTTGTGACTATTTTAGTCAAAAAAAACCCAAAAAACCTATTCCCAAACAAAGGCATAGTCTTAGGCAACTTTTGACAAGCATTAGTTGGAGGGATTGACCTCCATGCCCCCCATCAATTTTAATATCATGTTTGATTAAGGAATAAAAACAGGAGATAAAAGTTGGAGAACACCTTGTCCGCACAGTTTTTAATATGTTGTTTGTTTAGTCCATAATTAAAACTCCAAATAATTTTAATATTGGTTCGAGGGTTTCAATGGAGAAAAATGGGAGTATTAATTAATAGGGTTTATTACATTTTTTCAACTAATACTAATATAGTTACTCTGTCCTCTCTTTCAGTAAGGATAAAGAGATTAAAACTAATACAGACGGTATGTATACACAAAAATACACAAAATAAATACAAGGTAAATTTTTGACGAAAAGAGAGGGTTAAGTATTATATGAATTACAATATTAAGGGAGCTCGATGTAATTATATCAAAATTAAGAGATTTTTTATTTAATTTTTTTCAAATCTTAGGGAGATCAATGTGACATGCCCATACTTCAGTGACAAAATTGATCACCACAGCATCAGAAACCAAAAAAAAAAAAAAAAATCTGAAAAGAGTATTGTTCCACAAACATAAATTTTCATACAAAATTTCAGCACAAAATAACATAACTTATTATATTCCTTCCATTTCCAAACAAAAAGAGATCACTTGGAATTAAAATTTCAAAAATGTCACAGCCCAATCTGCCACATTATTTTCAATATGATTTATGTATGAATATTTTTTCTGCATATCATTTTCTATCTAAAATCAGTAATGCGAATCATTAGTACACTAGTTAGTATGCCAACATTATTGATCTAAAACAACTAATCCATGTGCTTACAATCAAATAAAAAAGGCAAGTAATTCAGAAGAAATTTGCTAAAATAAATGGTTTAATAACATGTTCCAATGACAATCAAACAGATAGCCAATAAGCTTTATACAGTCCCCCCTCCAGCCAGATGAAGGTGTGATATGATCCATAGCACCTAGCAAGACAACTAAGAGACTTCACCAACTCACCTAAGTGACACTAATCAAGCTTACAATTTATTTTGATTAGTAATACTACATACCCTGAATTTTTACCCTGAAATATCAATATGCGGTCTAGATTCATACACCAAATCAATCTCCACCACACAACGAAATTCTGGGCAAAAATCTGGTCCCATTTTCTGAGTATCCAGACTTGCTGTATTTCGCTAGCTATTGTTCTCCATCCAGCACAGTAGTAACAAGACATAATTACCAAACTACCCTGACATCTAATTAGGACAGTCCAACTTACCCCAGTCCAAGTGCAAACAATGCTGATTCAAGCTGCCCATTATCAGTACCTCTGCACATCTAGGGCACGGCCTTTCTTGGCCACATTCCTTCTCACTGAGAACCACCTCACAACACTGAATAAGATTTTCCATCTTCTCCGAGCTTCGTACTTTTTCGATAAGTACCTTCTCTGAGCTTTATTCATGGCAGCTGTGGTTGAACGAGCCAATAAAATGTCATTGACAGTGTCATGTAGGGTGGCCTGTGATTCCAGATTTGGGTTCTGAGATCGGAGTGAACAATGGGTATTGAAAACCTGTAGATGTTCATCCTGACAGAATCCCTGAGTCCTGCACTCTGTGTCACAGATTGGGGAGTTGGTGAGATTGCCTGGCATAGATTGTTCATATCCATGATTTGGGTTGCTTGTGTCGCCGGTGCTTTGCAAGCCATCACTATTGAAGCTATTCATATTCCCCATGGAAGAGATGAATGGCATGATATCTTGAGACGAGGAACTCAGTTTGAATGGGATATCTTCGATGGAGGTTTTCCTGGCCACGTTCCTTTTCACGGAGAACCATCTCGCTACGCTGAATAGCATTCGCCATCTTTTCTGAGCTGTACTTCTTTTTAGTAAGTACCTTCGGTGAGTTTTACATTTACTCATGCCAACAGCTGAAGAATGAGCCAATGGACTGTAATCGACAGCACTGTCTACATTGGCCAGTGGATCCAAATCAGACTTCTGAGATTGGACTGCACGATGAGTATCCAAAACCCTCAGATGCTTGTCCTCGCAGAAGGCCCCAGTCATGGATTTGGTGACGTTACTAGGGAAAGTCCAAGCCTGTTTGTATCCATGTTCCATATAGCCAGTACTCTGAAAACCATCATGATTGGAACATCGAATGATAGAAGAGGCACTAAGGTTCTTTGGTATTTCTCTAACTCGGGTTTTTCCAGCCACATTCCTCTTCACTGAGAACCATCTCATTAAGCTGAATAAAACCCTCCATCTTCTCTGAGCCTTCTCTCTTTTTGATAAGTATGGTCTCTGAGCTTTGTTTTTGGCAACAGCTGCAGAACGAGCCAACAGAATGTCATTGACAGCACTGTGTAGGTTGGCCTGTGATTCCAAATGATCATTGGAGCTATTCACAGCTTCAATAGCACAAATTGATGGATTAATAGCTCGAGAAGGGGCAATTGAGAGTTCATTAATTTCTTCAAAAGGGTTTTTCTTGGTGACATTCCTCCTCACCGAGAACCACCTCATTATGCTGAACAACATTCTCCATCTCCGCTTAGCACTATTTTTAGAAAAGTTTCTTCTCTGAGCTTTATGTTTGGTAACAGCCACAGAACGTGCAAATTGAATGTCATTGACAGCATTGTGTGGATCACCCTGTGATTGCAAGGTTGTGTTGTTACATTGAAGGGAACGATGATTATCAGAAAACTGCAAAAGCTCATTCTCGTAGAAGGCCTGAATCATGGTGTCTGTATCACAGAATAGGGGGCTGGTGACTTGGCTTGCGAAACTCAAAGGTTGTTCATATCTATTATTGATATCATCAATACCCTGCAAATCAAAATCACATAAGAAATTCACAACCATAAGAAAATTATTATCTTAAGCAACGAAGAACAATACTGACTTTTCAATGCTTTATTTAGTGAGGAGAAATGAACACACACATTATTGTTTCTTCATATTCTAGGAACAATATTTAGTGTCTTTGTAAAAGTGAGAGAATCTCCTTCAAGAACTATTATTTCCACTTCTGCTGGGACAGGGCCAGAACAAAAACTTGCCCAATAAGAGAATCAAGTAAAGCAATTTTTAAGGCAGTACAATCTTCTCCTACAATAGGGACTCCAATAAGGGAAAATTGCATTTAAATGGAGGTGCAAGCAAGTCTGTGTCTGGTGCAAATGAAAATTGTGGCATGGGACACAGCTCTCACTTGCTGCGATTTGCATCTCCATGAAAATGCAATTACTTTTGTTCCTATTTAAATGCAATTTTCCCTTCCAATAAATACTACAATGGATATATTTAATTGTAAGCTTCTGGATTCAACATGGAATACCTCTTCCCCGATGCTCCAAAACAAGTTCTCAGGCTCGTAGTTGATATTTTGCGTCACAGAATCCTGGCCACAGATCCTGGAGTCAGGGATTTCGCCTTGTAAACAAAAAGGTTGGCGACTTATATAATCCAGTTCTTCAACACCAATCAAGCCAATGTCGTCCAAAGTATTAGCAACCCCAAGTGAAATGATGTCTGCGGTACATTGCCGTGCATTGCCATACATATCGGGAGTGTCAAAATTACAACTATCTATACTCTCTGGCGTGGTCAAGTTTGAGGGGTGGAGAGCATTTGCTAACTGTTGAGAGCCCATCGTAAGAGATGCCTCATCATCAACAGGTACAACTTGCTCCCAATGTTGAAATGCTGATACTACCAACTTGTGGGCATAATCCTGATAACAAAATCAATCAGAAAGGAGACAGAAACAACCAAAAACAGACAGACAGAAAGAGTAAAAACTTAAGGAATCAGAAGAGTGCCTTTTCAGTCAGAGACAGCTTATCCACAGAAATGAGTTGTTGTTCCATAAGAAGCCCAATCAATTGTCCCACTACGTTAAAAACAACAGTAGTTTTTTGTTGAGGGCAGGGAGGACAGTACAAATATGCCCTCTTATCAAGTATACATGTTCGGGCATGGTCCACTGTCACGTCCCACATCTTAGCAGACATCCTCACACCAAGGATCTGCAGACACCCACAGAAACAAATATAACTGTCACTTCATATGCAAAGGAGGGAAAAACTGTTTATTCTCCAGGATGCAAGAAACTCTTTGTTAACTATATCATAATGTTATGAAAAACTAAATGGGGTCAACATAGGATATCCTTCAGGTAGAAAGCTATACACCCAAAAAAGACATGTTCCTGTTAAGTCACTAGTTATCTTAAAAGCTTAAGCTGTTCACCTTCCCCCATGCGCAACCCCGTTTTGCATGTGAAGCTACAAATATCCATACATACAGAGGAAGGGAAAAAACAAAACAAAAACAGCAAATGAGAGAGAGAATGCAAACAGGGACCAAATGCAAATGGTGAAACTTCTTCATCCCAAAACCTCCCCCAACTTGAGTTCTAATACCATTTTAAGTAACCAATTGTCCCAAAAGCTTAAGCTCTAAGAAAACGGGCCTTATTTAGCCCATCCCAGTTTAAAATAGCTTATAAAACAAAACACCCCATCACATTACTTTCTCTACTTTTTTACATGCCTTTTCGTAAAAGCTAAATAGCAAACTAAATAGCCTATTCCCAGATGGGTGTATATATCAATCTTTTCAAATAGTTCCCGAAATTAGAGCATATTACTAGCAAGTACTACAAAGGTAAAAATCAAGAAAAGAGCAGTCAATTATTACCTTTTTTAACCTCTCAGGGTCTATATTGAGTAGAGTCACAAAATCCTTCACAGTTTTAATGTCATCTTCTGTCAAACGCTTATGGAAAGCACCATCTTTACCAATCTTTTCTAATCTCCAGACTGGATCAGATAGAGCTGGAGGGTGGTGCTTCTGATACACTGCAAACAGAAAGAAGAAGTTACATAGGAGATTTTTCTTTTCTTAATATTAAAAAGATCTCAGACACCCTAGTATGTAACGATATACAATCTCATAATATCATAGTATCATAGAATTGTACTTATGCACAAAGCCAGTAAGACAATTATTCAAGTAACTGAAAAACATATCTTCCATAGCTATATCTATAATCACTTAAATGGTTATAGACATTATTAGTCATGCAGATGAATTTCACATAATGATATTTTGAACCAATTACTACTGATAAGTTGATAACACATAATAGTGAAAAAATAAATAAAATAAATAGGAGAATAATAGCTTACAACAATGAATTCAAAGTTTTTAAAAGAAACTAGTACAACAAGGAATGTCCAAAGACTCCAAACACAGAATTTCACAACATACAGGTGCAGAGAGAGAGAGAGAGCAATAACCTATGGTTAAACTAGATGCAATGAAAAAAATGAAAATTATAACTAACAAAAGAAATTAAGAGAACAGAACCTATGTCCTGTGTTTTTCATGCTTCCAGTCTTCTAACCAATCCAGTGAACAAACAATAATTCGAACAATACTCAAGAATTCAGGACATGAACCAAGAAAATAATGAAAAGTTGTCCTTACCCATTGTCAACCACAAATACTGAAAGAATGGAAGTTTATGAACATGTCACATGAAAGGGAATTAATGGCTAATCTCTATTTCTCATAAAAGAATTGGTTCTAAACATTAAATTCCCACTATTTATATTTGCATTCAGTACACTATCTATGTTACATGGACTCTTCAAAGTGATCAACAATACCCAAATTCCAAGAGTTCCAGGTGTCCACGTATTGAATTGTTAACCACCAACTCATCTAAAGCTTAAGCTCTTAGAGAGAGGGGCAACTTTGTTTTATATTATATTCTCAACAACATTGCCTTCACATTTGGGTCTCACTTGTAAGTTAATATCGTTAAAATAAAAACTTATTTCCAATATTTACAGATATTTATGTTTACATATAATTAATATAAATGTTGCAATTTCTTTCCACCAGTACCATAGTCCACTTCAATTTCAAAGATACTACTGAAATATGTGATTATTTAACAAAAACATACCAAAAAAAGTACATAAAACAAGAAATACTCACATTTTCCACGTGAATCCTCAACAATGAAAGGCTCTGTCCATGCTTCTCTTACTTCAATTCCATCAAAACCACCCACGATTCTTGCACCTAGCCTGAATTCTTTCTTTGTCATCCAGCATTTGGTATGCTTAAAGTAAATGTTACCTATTAAACCACAGCCTTCTTTAAGATTAAGGTAAACATCTCCCATAAGAAGTTGTTTTTGTCCTTCCCTTTCGCCAACAATCTTATTCTTGAATTCTTCAGGTGTCCAATTATCTCCTTCACAACCATTGACATCCATGTCAAGAACTACTATTTGCACCTTTGCTGAGGCTTCAGGGCCCGCGTTAACGACTTGTCCTGTAAGACCATCAACTAAAGCTACTCCAATGGAGGTATACTCCTCTCCTTTAATTTTTTTTCCGGTCAATACCGGTTGAGAGAGTTTGTTTAAGAATCGTAGTTGTAAGCTTCTTGATTTAGAAAGCTGTATCTCATTCCCAGAGTCCCTGAATAAGAAGTGGAAGTATGCATCATCTATAGGATAGTTACGAATAAGCATTATTACACAACAAAATTAGCATTACATCCTCACCATTTCTTGTTACACGGATGATTTTGTTCTGCCAGTGCTGATTCAACTTTCTTATCTGTCTGGAGACACAAGGTAACATCAGGAAGGTGTTACTATGTGTACAACTAAACTAAGAACCATAAGCAATAATAGAATATAGACTCTCAACACTAGTTCAGCTTAGCTTATTGCTTAATCCACAGGGAGCTTACACTTATCAAGAAGGCCAAGAACCCAAAGTGGAGGCATCTCTATACAACTAATTAAGAAGGCCAAGAACCCAAAGTGGAGGCATCTCTGTACAACTAATTTAACACATCAAAGATTAAAGTAGGACCTCAGAACAATTGGTTTTAATTCAAACTGGAAAACAGAATCCATGCAGCTACACTTAAGATGGTCGTGGTAAGGCCAAACAATGATGATTCATAAGGTACTAATTTTGAAAAAAAAAAAGCTTGAGAATGTGTCGAGAAAAGAAGAAGAAGAGAACCCACATTCAGTGATTAGCATGGAAGCATAAATAATATGCTAATTTTATATTGACATTTGGAGTATTTTGTAGAAGGAAGGAGAAAAGGAGGGCATCCAATATAGTGAAATTTACATACAACAGAAAAAAGCCCCATCCGTGTCCCTTGACAAGGAGGATAAAGAAGAAGAAAAAAGAATTTAAAAAAAAATAAATAACAACGAAGCCTTCTAATTATAAGGCCTACGAAAAGAAAGCTCAAATCCTCAAATTGTTTGGATGTATGCCCTCTAACCAATGGTTTTGTGTTGAAATAAATGGTTGTTTTATTCAAAATGTTTTATACATACATATGGACATCATTCAAGAGATCTCAAGTTAAACTGAATATGGTTTATGTAGGTTAAAGAGTTCCACTTACAAGAGATATAAATCATCATAATCCTTATGAGTTGTGACTTTCTATTGTTCACTGTTGTAATAGACTTGGGAAATCTACTAGGTCAACTATAGCATGATTAACCCCTATGTGATAAGATGGTTTATTACAACCATTGAAGTGGAAGATTCCAAGTCAATATGTTGGTGTATATGATGCATTGAAGGACCACAACACCTCAGCATGTTGGTTAATCTATTTAGAGTTGTGGGAACAACTTTTTCAAAATAGAATCTACCATGTGTAGAAAATCAAAGTAAATGTCAATTGAGTTTGTTCACACAGTTAGTTACTTGATTCTAGATTCTAGATCTGGTCATTGTTACGAACAGTTCATTTAAATGTGATTAGTGACTTGTCAAGTTGTGGACTAGTTACAGGGTTGTTTGGGATTATCTAAATAAGTATACTTTTTGACTTTTTACAAAAAGATGTGCAGAAAGTAGAGAGGTGTTGTGACCCAAATAAGTTCACTTATCTAAATAAGTGCACTTATTTAGTTTACGCCAAATAGTGCCAATTGGACAAAAAATTAATTTTGACTCCATTGCCGCTTATAGACATTATTGGTAAAAGGGTCTACAGTATGGTATTGTCGAACGTTGGCCCTATTATAATTAATATATTTGTTCCTTTAGGGTTAGAGTGCAATTGCAATTGCAATTTATAGTGAAATTAATCACTTTTAATTGATAATTCTTTATCCTTATGAGATAGGGGTATTAGAACCCAGTTGGATCTAGAACTCAAGGGAGCCTATGCTGTCCCAATCCAAGTCTACATAGGAGTAGGCCTTATAAATTTCTATATAAATGGCCATCCATGGTGATACATGAACATGAGTTTTATCTCTTTTGAGTGTTTGTGTGTGTGAGAGAGATTTTGTGTGAGACACAAAGTCTAGTTGGATCTCACTATGCTACATTGGTTCAAACTCCTAAGGATATTAGATTAAAGACTTAAAGGCATGAAGAACAATATGACATGATCAAATTCATGGAATTACTCAAGTTTTTTGATGATTCAAAAAAATCCTTGGAGATGAAAGTGTTCAAATTTTCACATCAATAATGCAGTTTTCTCATAATTTAGCTTCCAACAAGAGTTGCAAGGGTTATTTCTTGACATTCTCTAATCTAGAACAACACGATCACGTTAGAATAAAATATAGTTTTTGAAAAATTATTTGCCTCCACAAGCCTTGTCAAACAAACATAAATCACATAGATCACCATTATGGCTAGAGCAATATATGTGGCAAATTACGTCTAGACAAGTACGAAGTAAAACACAATATGAAAATCGGTCATCCATTCTTAACAATACTTGTCCATTTTCTATGTTGTTATTCCTGTAAAAGAAGTTTAGAATTTGCTGAATTATGTAACTCTAGAACCTTTTGTAAACATTTACTCACATGTTGACCTTATCTCTTTAACATACCTAGGTTGCAACATCAGTTCTGTAATTGCAAGATTGGCATCATCTATGCCTCATTAGGACTCTCACGACCATCTTAGGAGCATAGTTACCAAAAATCTCACTTTGAGATAGGGATCTCACTTCCCTAAAAACTTTTTTCCAGAACGGAGACAAAACTCTAAGAAACCTTCTGAGACGTTTGTGAAACTCTAACACAATTTAAGAAACTTGTTAGAAACTTCACTTCTCATAATTTCTACTTTTTTTTTTTTTGCTCGCCAATCTTGTTACTCTTCTAAAATATTTTGTAGTATTAGTGTTTTAGTTAATCATGAAAACATTCTAACTCAATCTTAAACCACCTAGCATTATATTTATTGACCATGTTCCATGTTTCCCATTTCCCATATTGGCAATTATGTTTCTGAGCAGGGGCGTAGTCCAAATTTTTTTTCATTGGGGGCCAAATTAACATTATGAAGAGTGAAATCCAACTCGTGGTACTAAGATTGCCAATTGATAAAATAATGATAATATGACATTGATTCCCAACTCGGCTAGGAATATAACCTGAACAATACAAAGTAGAGTTGAGAGAGTGACAATGGACTCTGATTTTATTCACATACTATTAAAATGTGTGAACAAAAAACAAGTTTTGATTAGTTCAAAATAATGGGATTCACAAATTTACGAGTGCTCAATACACTTTTTGAATGAGAGACCTACCATTATAGACCAGTGAAATTCTATATTTTGATAAAACACTCAAAAACTGTGTGAACAAATTTAAATTCGAGACAATGTACAAATAAAATATTGAGAGGGTACAGGAGAAGTGAATCTGTTGAGTACATAAAGTAGATACATATTGTATCACTGACCTTTGTTGTACAAAATTGTCCTCTTATTTAATCAAAATGACATGAAAATTACAAATGGTGTTATGTAACAATAAGATGGCGGTGACCTTACAGTTGTCAAAAGGGGGTAAAGTTGTGAATTCCAAAAAGAAGCCATCCAACAAAAAAAATTCAAAATTTTAAGAGTGCCTATGAGGAATCTGCTTGGTATTTCCAAGTTTTTTGGGTGAAGATGAGCCAATTTCAATTTCAACAATAAACAGCTATATGTTACAGAAACTTCTTAGACCTTGGGGGGACGAGGGGCCTTGCTGGTCAACCAAATGTCTCACGTGGTGTGGGGTCTGCAATTTTGTAGACCCCACACGCATGTGAGACATTTGTTCCGTGGGATGATCACACCACACCACACCACACCACACTATTGTTGGACCCCCTTGTACTTTATCACTCTGAAGAAGGTTCTAAACTTTGGAAAAGTTGAGATCTATTATAGAGAGACATCAAGAGATATATATAAGGGTGACTTGGGTGACCCTTTTCACTCAATTTAAAATTATCCACACTCATGAATGTCTCAGCGCTCACTGAGGGAGAATTTGGGGGAGACAGAGAGAGAAACAGAATCATTCTACATGAAAGAATATCAAATACTAGGAAACAATTTGAAATTCACAGGGCTTCCAAACAACTAAAGCAAATTTAAACTTTCTTCTATAAGTTTGTAGAGGTTGTAGAGGTAGACATGACTTTTGGACAATAAACACACACAGCTTCAACAATGCATGAAGTAGTCTGTCTATGCTCAAAAACAATAACCAAATTTGATAAAGAAACATATTAAATTCAGTTCTCTAAGTAAAGAGAAAAAAAAAAAAAAAAAAAAAACCCAAACAGTCTGAGAGCATCCACTTACATATCCAGAAATTAAGCGCTCTACTGCAGTCTCAGAACATCGGTCAGATTGTAACTTCATTATCTCTGATACTACACTGAAATACCCTCAAACCAAGTGTTAGAAACCAAAATTAAGCAAAACCCATTGAAATTAGCAACATAATTTGCTCAGTTCTCATTCAAATTTTCCATTTTTCTTTCATTCAACAGTGACAACAGAAAGAATGAAAAAGAGGGCATAGTATAGTTGACCTCCTCAAATCAGGCCGAGGCGGCTTTCTTCGCTCATCCTTGGGACTATAATTTCCTTCTTGTGATCCAACATTGACATTTCCTTCAAACTCTCCACCGTGAGGCATTTTTTCACTCTAAAATCAATGCTTTGATATAAACAAAAACAAGTAAATGGGTTTGTTTCAATTGTGGGTGTATTAATAGATTAGCCGAGCTTAGTTTTTCTGGGTCACTGGAAGCGATTTGTTTCAATTGTGGGTGTATTTATACTGATAGATTAGCTGAGTTTAGGTGGGTCAATGGTGGTGATTAGTGAAGATAAACAAGTCACAGTGTCCACCCATCACAGTAGTTGTAGATAGACACTCCCACACACACACCAACACTCCCTACACCTAAATCTTCGTTGTTTGATATCGCCATAGATCTGTTTTCTGTTTTCTGTTTTTCCAAAGGACTGGCCGGCTTTGATTTGACCCACAAGATGGGGTGACTGGGACCCATAAAACTGTGTTCACACCCATCTGCAGATAGATGGGTCGAAAGTTTTCAACAAGCACATGGTGCAATAAAATTATAATCACAGTGTTTTATAATATAGTAACATAATTGGTGAAAAAAATAAAGTAATGATTATTTATATTAAATAATTATAAACTTTAAAAAGAAATAATAATTAATAAGAAAATATCACTACGTAATACTCAGATAATTGACTGTTACTCCCTCTTTTGAAGAGGTTTCAACTTTTTAATTTTCATTGAATATAAATCACTTTTCAAAAGAAACCATCATCATTTTTATTTGGAAAATAATGAAAAATAAGGTAGAATATTTTCACATTTTCAACTAGTAAAAGATTGAAAAAAAAGGGTCATCAAAAAATTTACTCAACATTAAAATATATGGTATAGGTTTAAATTTAAATATTATGTGGGTATTTGGGAAGTGATTTTTTTTGTAGATTTTTTTAATTGTAGGATATTATTAGAATTTTTTTTTTATTTATTTGGAAAGATAGTTGAATTTTTTTGTGGTTGAATGTGATGTTTGTGAGAGAAAAAGTGAAATGATTATGAAGTTTAATGTAATATTTTGTTTGGATTTATTTGTTTTGGTTTTGTAACCAATTTGTCTTTTAGTAAAAAAAAAAAAAAAAAAACTCAAAACCTAACTTCCCAAACAGCGCCTATATCATGTAGATTACTTTGAATAAATTTGCGTTGGGTTCCTAGCAATTTTTTTAGAGTAACTTAGCCTCCGTTTGGGAAGTGGGTTGGCTTTTTGGCTTTTTGGCTTTTTTGACTATTTTAGCCTGGGCTTAAAAGCTTGGTTTGGGAAGGGCTTTTTGGCTTTTTGACTTTTTTGAGTTTTTTTGTGAGAGAAGAATGTAATGATTATGGGTTGGATGTGATGTTTTGTTTGTTATGGCTAAAATAGCCTATTTTGTTTTTTGTGGGTAAAATAGCCAAAAAAGCCTCCAACCCACCTTCCCAAACGGTGCCTTAAAGAGTTTTGTCACATTATTGTTTCATCATATATGGAATAGGGAAAAGAATTTTAAGTCATAGAATTTGGTTTTAATTTGACAAAAATTACACTTCTCCTTGTAATGCTAGGTACATCCAAATTCAAAGTCATAGAATTTGGTTTTAGTTTGACAAAAAATTCTCTTTTTTTTTTGGGTAATGTTATGGTACACACTTTTAAAAGGATATATCATATATAAGTTATGACATTTGTAGAGTTGATTACCACAAGTTATAATTCAATCCTACGAAAGTCATAACTAAAAAGAAAAAATTATAACCAAACATTGCAAAGGTATAATCAAGAGGTTTTGGATCATAACTAAAATATTATAATAACCAACATTACAATAATTCATAACTAATACCATAATTTTTATAACCAAATCATAATTAACACCTCAATAAGTCGTAACCAAATACTTCAAAAGTTATAACTAGGGGACATATGTGTACTATAGAATTTTCCTTTCCTTTTTCTTTTCTTTATTTTATATTTACGCTGCGTTTGATTGAGAGATTTGAGAAGGGCTTGAGCAAGCGATTTAGAAATGAAATGAAAAAAAGTAGGTGAAATGTGAATAAAATATATTTATGTTTCACCTAATTTTACATATCTTTTTCTTTTTCCTTTCCAAATCACTTCTCAAATCTCTCAACCAAATACAATATTATTTCATTTTTATAATCCCTCACTACTAGTCATCGTTGCAACTCTATTTGGCGCAATCATCAGTCCATCTCCTATCATCTCCTACCACTCACGGTTGCCTTTACCTCCATCATCGTGTTTCTATCCTTACTCGTCATTGCCACTGCCCCCACTACCTTTTCTATAACCCCTATTGCTCTCTTATCATTCCTAACTCTTCTACAACTGTAACTCCTCTTTCAAACCCTAACCATTGCAACAATTCTAATCTCCTATTCTCTTGTTATCGCAAATGTGAACTTGTAAACTTCCATAAAATAAAATTTGCTTTTTCCTTTCTTTTCTTTTTTTTTTTAAAAGCACATTTGTTATTAATAAAATACAAGTAACTTTGTTTGGCTATGAAATTTAGAACATAATGTAGATTAAAAAAAATAAAAATAAACCTTTAGCTTTTCAAAAAAACAAAGTAGTGTTTGGGTATAGAAAACAAAATTGAAAGAATCAAAATTATGCAGGATTATAAATTGGACGATGATTTTTTTTTTTGTTATAAGAAAATCCTCCCTACCCTTCCGCAGGTCCAAAGCAGCGCTCCTTACAGAGATCATCAGGGTGTCCTGTTAGCCGTTCCGAGCGAGGAGACTGTAACTTGGGAACTTGCCCCGACCTCCCAAGACAAGTTTCGCTTAAGTCAGGACACGTACAGCGGGGAGTATTGAACCCACACCAATTAAGTCAAGAATTAAGTCATGACTCGCACAGCGGGAGAGTATTAACTAACTGTGCTTCGCCTAGGAGCATTGAACTCACGCCAAGTATGGATTAGACAACTTGAGGTCCAACCTCCTAACTAACTGCACTTCGCCCAGGAAATTGGCCCAGAGAAGAAGAGAATTGAACCTATGACCTTAAAACTTAAATTTCAAATCTTAACCACAATGCCTCCAATCCCTGAATTTATTGGACGATGATTTTATTTTGTAGAAAAACACAAAATAAAGTGGATAACAATTTTTGTTTGTCCATTCTAGTTAACTGGAATGTACAGGTGATGTCAAGTTTGATTTTTGTACTTTTTGAAGAATGACGTTACTGTACCCTTTTTTGTTTGCTTTTGTGTGTGTGGATTGGACAAGGTGTCTTGGAAAGAAAGAAAGAAATAGTCAAAAAAATAATCTTGAAATTCCACATCATCACATAATAAAAACAAAATGGCAATATAGACTGAAGAAAGAATAGTCGAGTCAAGCAAGGTTATTATTACAGCTACAAAAATTATTATTAGAACTAAGGTACATGCACGATACAACCAAAGCAAAGCCCTTCTAGAAGAGAAGGGATTTGATGTACTCTAATTAATTTTCATGGCGTAAATTATAAATTATTTTTTATAATTTAAAAAATTATAAATACTCATTTATTTAACAAAATTAATTAAAAAAATAAAATTTATAATTACTCTCATATATAATAATAAAATTATCTAAATTATTAATCAAAATATATTTCTAACATTATCAAAATTGTTAATTGATTGAATAATTTATTAACAAAAGGGACGATTTGTTATGAAATTAGAAATATTAGCGGGTGGAATGTAATTTTTAAAATTATAAAAAGTTCATATTTTAATTAAATCTCAAAAGTGTATTTGTAATTTATCCATATTCTTAATTTAGTAGATTATGGTTAATGATAATATCAAAGCATCTACATGCTCTTACCCTCTCTTTGGGAAGAAGGGTTAGGTTGGGTTTAAGGCTATTTTAGTCATAAAAAGATAAAATAGGCTTTTTAGCCCAATAAAATAAAATATTCCGTCAAACCCATAATCATTTTATTGTTTCTCTCACAAAAAGTTAAAAAAGTCAAAAAGTCTATCTCAAACGAGACATTTTAGCCCCAAGCTAAAAAAACCAAAAAACTAAAAAACCAATTCACTTCCTAAACGAACCCTTAGTCATGGCCCAAGTGGACTGCAGATAAATTTGAGTGAATTACATTCACCTCTTATGTAATTAAAAAAAATACGAAGAGTCTTACAGTTAATATGATTATATTGATTTTTTTTGATAAGGTTAAAATAATCAAAATTAATATAGATGGTGTAAAAATACAATACATAAGGTAAAATATATATTTCAACATAAAAGATATAACATTCCTTTTTTATTCATATAACTTAAGAATTATTGATAAAAATTGAACTAGCTTGTTAGTAATTTTAGTTAATTTTTTAGCTTTTACCAAAAGATGTGGAGCAAAATAGAGAAAGTTATGTGACAATTTACAATAACTTTTTAACATTTTAGCTAAAATCTGGGTAGCTCACCATTACTTGCTCGCAGGTGATCGGACATCGACGGAGCTCGGAAGAAAGGAATACGGGCACGCCGGAATATTTGCTCCCCGTACAATTATATATATTTTAAATCTCTATGACTTTTTTTATTTACCCAATAAAATATGTACAAGAATCTTGGCTATAAGGGTATTTTGATAATTAGCATCATCATATTTAACCCTTTTCTTGTTGGGACAGGGGTAATAAGGATATTTTGGCTTTGTCCTGACTAATTGTTAAGTGTATATCGTCTCTAATTTCATTCTTATAGATAAATTACTAGGTAAAGGCCTTGAGAAACACAAAAATTCATCACAGATTCGACTGCTAGACAAGTGATTCCTCAATTCAATTTTAGTTAAAAAAATTTAGGAAAACAAAAACTAATAACATAATTAAACACAAATTTTTTATCTGAGGTAAGTCTGACACGATGTGAGATTTTATTATTAATTTTTATATGAGCAGAAAAACTGTTTTGTTTAGTTGCAATATATACTGATCCCAAATGATATGAAAACAACCAATAAAAAAACACAAAATGAGAAATTACCATCAATAAAAAACACCACATAGATGGTGAATTTCACTTTTTAAATATTACTACTTTATCTTATTCAGCCTACTAACTCACACACATACATGGGGGATATATTACACCTTTTCAATAATTTATTATTAAATGATGATATTATATGTTCATATATTACTGTTATAGTAATTTTTTCCCTCTAGTGTAGTAATTTTTTTGTCCCATATAATTCCATCTCAAGCATTAATGGGTCAACTAAAGTTTTTGATTGGGCTATTCCACCGACCATCACAAGTGGCCAGTGGGAGGAAAGAAAAAGCAACAAACAATATGAACAAAACGTCAAAAATATGTAATTAGTTTAAGAAGTTTTAAAATCAAGAGTAATGTTTCATTGAATTTGGCTCCTTAGAATTGTTTAAATGAGGTGCATATTAATTGAAAGGTCGT